AATCTCTCCCTCTCTATATATTAATTAGTTCTGTTTCTCTGGAGAATCCTGACAATACAGTTTCCTTATCTGTAAAATGAGAATAATAATGTGTCATAGGATTCTTGAGAGGAGTAAATGAGTTGAGGAGTAAATGTCTGGCATGTAGTAATCATGCCGTGGATGCCAGCCATTGTTATTACTTCTTTCTTCACGTATCCCCTCCTCTGGGAAGCCCTCCTTGACTCAAGGTTACATTACTTTCTCTGTGCTTATCAGCATCCCAGCATTTATCTTGATGTATGATAACTACCTGTTCCCTTGGCTGAGCTCCTTGAGGGAGCCTGTTCTTTAGGTCCCAGTATCCCCAGGGCTGAGCATGGTGCCGGCATATGGAGGTGCCCACCTGCATCTGTGGGATGAGCTCATGGGATGGGGCAAAGAGGATAAGTATGCACCACATATTGGAGTTTTCAAGGAAGGTGCCCAGGAAGGAAGAGACATGTGGAGAACAGCTGTGTTAGGTGCTGGGGTTGGCAGTGGAGGCAGATGGTCTGAGAGCAAGTGCTTAAGCCTCTTTCCTGTTTTCCTGGTCTGGAGGGTGAAGAAGTGAAGATCACTCCCAGCAAATGCAGCTCTGCTGCATTTACTGTTCTCTAGTGAGAGTTCTGGCCATTGTCATGTGACCCTGCTCCTCACTGGTGGGTCCTTTGCCCTTTATGGGAGAGAGCAGGCTTGTGAATGGAAGGTGTCCTCAAGAGGGCTTGGCGGTCCTCACCTGGGGGCCCTGGCTACTACCCCCTCTGATCTTCATTTGGAAATAGGACTTCTGGCACTGGTAGAAGGTCTGGGCCTAGTGAGTGTTCTGCTTCTCTTGGGTGACAGCAGAAGTTACTCTGTGGCAGGCCCGGGGGGCTGCTCATAGTCTATGACTGTTGGGGAGAGCATAGTGGGACAGAGAGCCATTATTACACCTTCCGTGATGTCCTCCTCTGTCCTGTCATCAGATTTGGCTACAACTGATTGCCTCTGCACAAAGCCTTCTTTCATCTGTGTTTCTCCATCTCACTCTCCCTCTTTTCAGCAAAGAAACCTCTGGTTCCAGTATCACTGTGCTGGCCTTGGAGGGCTGGGGAGGACCCCAGAGATTCCTTACTCCGTGAAGTATAAACGGCTGTCCAGTTGTGGCTTTTCCCTGCCTTGTATGTCTGGACACCACCTTCCCCTCATTGCTGCTGGTCTTCAGGACCCTGCTGCTCTATTGTCTGAAGAATTTGCTAATCAGCTTCCCACCAGCAAAGATCTGATGCTATCTAAGATATCCTCCCTGCCTCTGGATAGGCACTCTCTCTAATGACTGAGCAGCAAATTCTGCTGCGTTTGTCCTATTGAAGCCACAAGGTAAGGTCACACACCTGTGAAAGGGATCGAGTATCACCTGAAGATGCTGTACATTCTTTTAAACAATTACCTAGGGAAGAGGTGGGTTTTCAGACGGTGCTCTGGCAGTGGACCCTTAGAGAGGAAGGAAAGAGAGCACCTGCCTATCTCTGAACTTCACTCTCTTTAGACTTCTAGAGGGGCAGATGCTGAGATGTGGGCCCCTGGTGCTGGGTGCTCAGATGGTACCTGGTCTTACAGCTAGGATGGAAGGGCCTATGAGACTGAGTGTAGAACCATACCGTTTTGTCGCTGGACAGGTTTTTACTGCCTTAAGTCACCCGCCCCCTTCTTTTCGCCAGCTTGGCAAATATTGAGGCTATAGTGTTAGGATGAGGGTCATTTGTGAAGAAATTCATAGTTGAGAATATGTGTTAGTTAACTGTTACATAATAAATTACTTGCACACTTAGCAGTTTAAAGCAACAAACATATTATTTGATATAGTTTTTTAGGGTCAGGAATCCAAAAGCAGCTTAGATGGGTGATTTTGGCTCAGGGTCTCTTACAAGGCTTCAATCAAGGTGTTGGCCAGGGCTGCAGTTATCTGAAGGTTTGATTGGGGCTGGGGTGTCTGCTTCCAAGATGGCTCACTCACTGTCCTGTGGGCAGGAGGCCTCAGGCCCTCTTCACAGGACACTTGAGTGTCCTCATGACATGGCAGCTGGCTTTCCCTAGAATGATCCAAGATTCAAAGAGCAAGGCAGAGACCAAAATGTCTTTTTTTATTTTTATTTTTTTATTTTATTTTATTTTTTTGTGAGGAAGATCAGCCCTGAGCTAACATCTATTGCCAATCCTCCTCCTTTTTTTTCTTCTTCCCCCCAAAGTCCCAGTAGATAGTTGTATGTCATAGTTGCACATCTTTCTAGTTGCTGTATGTGGGACGCGGCCGCAGCATGGCTGGACAAGCAGTGGGTCGGTGCGCGCCCAGGATCTGAACCCGGGCCGCCAGCAGCGGAGTGCGTGCACTTAACCGCTAAGCCACGGGGCAGGCCCCCCAAAATGTCTTTTATTAGAAAATTTTTATTTTATTGTGGTAAGAACACTTAACATGAGATCTACCCTCTTAATTTTAAGTGTACAATACAGTATTGTTAGCTATCGGCACAATGTTATACAGAAAATCCAAAATGTCTTTTATAACCTAGCCTTGGAAGTGACCTAGTATTGCCTCTGCCATACTCTATTGGTCACACAGACCAGTCCTGATACAATATGGGAGGAGACGACACAAGGAGGGGGATGTCAAGAAGCAGGGATCATTGGGGCCATCTTGGAGGTTGGCTGTCACAGAAGTAGACATATTTTAGTACAATAAAGGCAGAAGATCAGTTAGCAGGATGTCATTTTCACTAGGTATGGTTGTCTTTCAGATGCATTAACCTGAAGCCAGAGTGCCTTTGGGGGCTCTGGCTCTCTCCTCCTCCACCTTAAGATCTGAAGGGCCCCTTCACACACCCCATCAAGTATTGGGACTGGATAGATCAAAGTATGAACTATAGGAGACCAAACACAGAGGAGGTGGGGCTTTGGGAGGATGACAAAAGGTTAACAAGGACCAAGAAGCTGCTGAAAAGGAGAGGAGTTGGGCAGGAAGAAGAAACCCCAGATAGAATGCCCTTTCCAACCTGGGAGAGGGTAACCATAGTGTGAGTCTCAAGCATCGAGGACTATGGTCCCACACCAGCAGGTTGTCCAAAGGGCAAGTTCAGAGGCTGGAGATTCCAGTTCCAAATCTCCCAGACCCCGGGACTTTGTGTGGACTTTCAAGCCTGAAATAAAGCCCTCTAGTAAAGAACTCTTTAAACCTACTGTATATGTGCCTTGCTTGCTAATAGCAGGCAGTTCTGCTACAACTCGCACCATCCCTTCCTTCAACAATAAGGAGTTTATGGAGTGAGGCTGCATTAGCACCTCAGATAATTGACTTGTATATTACTCTCTGTTCTAGTTCTCTTTGTTTCCTCCAAGACTTTAATAAACCCCTATTCAAACAACGCACCCTTGTCCGATCTGTGGTCCTCAGAAAGAAAGGAGTGGTGGGGAAGCAGAACGGGGTGGTGAGTGGCAGCAGTGGTCAGGGGAGCCACCTCGAGGAGATGGTGCCTTTTGATCCAGCTGCCCTTCCTGTGTTGGCTTCTCTTTTCGTTGGGGACCTGGCAGGGTGGGCTTTAGTTACATTGAGGATGACAACGGTTTCCTTATAGCTGGGTCAAGGACACGGAGCAAGGCTTTTCTGAAAATAGCCAGGAAGGAGAGAGGAATCTCAGGGGAGGAGGGGGTGTGGAAGGCAAGATAGTAAGTCAATGAGAGAACTGACCTGAATAGGCTGAATAGACCCATCCTGTGAGGAAATAAAGGCACAGAGAAGTGAAGTAATTTGCCCGAGGTTACACAGCGAGGCAGCGGCAGTGACTCCTCACCAGTGCTTTCAGCTCTGCCTTGCCTGCCTGCCTAGGTCGATGACTACAGGGGATATGCTGAAGGGGTCAGGGACAGGAGGGTGGAGGCCTCTCAGACAACAGAAAAGTATGAGAAAAAACTCTCAGTGCAGGGGTGAGGGTGCTGGCTGGTTTTGGCATCCATGCGGAAGAAGGGTAAGGAGACAGGAGGGCCAAGGGACAGTGGCCGTGCCTGCAGCTGGTGACTGGAGGAACCTGGGACTGGGACAGAGCCTCTGCCTGGAGATCCAGCCTCTTGAGTGGTGTAGCTTCAGTGTGTACTGTGGGGGAGGAGCCCAAGAGGGACTCAGGGGTGGGGGTGGAGCCCGATGGCTCTGCATACAGCTGTCACCGCAGTGGCCAGTGGCGCTGGGGCTGGGCAGCTGTCCCACCATCAGCTCCCTCTCCCTTGCACTGAAGCCTTCTCTTGGCTGGTGGGAAAGCAAGAGTGCCTGTTGCTCTGCAGCTCATAGCCTGGCCAGTGAGAACAGAGGTAGCCGTCCAGATGCTGGCACAGGGCTCTACAGCGTGGTGCTGGCTGGGATACTGCGCTCATTCTCATGGGGGTGATGGGGCTACAGGATGCAATGAGAGTCTGGTTCTGGAGCCCCGGGGGAGGCAACAACGCTCCCCATTCCATCACCCCCAGACGGTTTACCTGCCTGGATCCCCAAGGCGAGGGCTACACTGTCTCTAAATCTCTGTATCAGTCACTTACACTTTGGTATAAATACAAGCCACAGTGTGACTGCAGGGGCATGGGCAGTGATGTCTTCTCCTTAGCTGTAGATACGAGGCTTTGCTTCCAGTTAAGAGAATGTCAATCATCAAGTGAAGAGGTAAGGGACAATAAAGGTAATGACAGCTAACACTGGGCAGTGCTTACTCTATTCCGGGGACTATGCTGAGTGATCTTACACTGAATCTTCACAAAGATTCCTAGGAGGAAGAAGTACTCTTGGTATTGCCTTGTATGACCAGCAAATGTGGCTTATTTACTGAAGGTTAGTGGCTTATTTATGCTCACACAGCTAGTAAGAGGTGGCAGTTTGACCCCATAGCCTGCTGACCTGACCACACAGCTAGTAAGAGGTGGCAGTTTGACCCCATAGCCTGCTGACCTGACCACTCTGGAATACTGTCTCCAAATCTGAGTGCCATTTTAGGTTCATCTAGAGGCAAGTGATTTATCCATTAACTCAGTGGCTTGGTTATGCTGGCGACCCTCTGCTTGAGCACTGCCCACAGGGGACAGAACAGAGGCTCCTAGGGCTGCCCCTCTCCTTAGTGGCCAGAACAAAAGTGAGGGCAGAGGGAAGTGAGACTCAGGACTGGGTGGATGGGGGGAGGCAGGAGGCTCACCCCCAGATAGATGGTGGGCCAGGAAGTCCTTGAGAAGACAGAGGTCTCCTTTTCCTGCTGAAAGGGTGAGTGTGGAAGGTCAGCTCCATCTCATGCCCCCTGGAACCTAAATGGCCTCCGGTGAGGGTGGGTATTCAGTGTGAAGCACAGGGGCCCACAGAGCTGGCCCAGAGCCATCCTGTTGGCTGAGTTCTAGGGGAGGAGGAGGAGGGCCTGGTGGGCGCTGGTTCTAGCCCCTGGTCTAGCAGGGCCACTGCTTGCACTGCTAGCCTCAGAGGCCTTGGCTACCATCTTTGTTTCTTTCTTTCTGCCCTCCATGCAAACCCAGGTCAGCTACATCAGTCAGCTTCTTCTGAGCAGAGGCATCTGGACTGACCTAAAGGATCAAGCCTAAAGAATCATTTGGGATTCAGGCTAGAAGGTTGTTTGTGACCATATGGTTCTATCTGGGCCTGGCAGAGTGGGAGTAGGGTAGGGGCCTAGCATGGGACTGGCTTAGAAGGGGGCAGTTATTCCATCTCACATGGAAATAAACGTTTTGGATTCCTGATCATCTCCCTGGGGTCTAAGACTCTGGTCAACAAAGTCAAAGTTGGTCCTGGGACTCACAGCTTTGTGTGCCCCAGGAAGGGATGGGGTAGGACCACCCATCCTTGGCTGTTGTCCTCTCCCCTGCCTTTTCTTCACTTATAGGTTAGTGGCCCTGGTGACTGTCTCTTCCCTCTGAGGATGCATGGAGCAGCCTGATTTGAATGAGGGGTAGGGGTTTTGTTAGGGAGAGTATGCGGGTTGGGAACTGGTGTGTGTGTGTGTGTGTGTGTGTGTGTGTGTGTGTGTGTGTGTGTCTGGTGGGGAATGGAATAACCAAGAAGCTAGCAGAGGAGGGAGGATTAAACTTAGCGGATCTCTGGCTCCCGCTGCAGCGAGCAGCGCCCCCTGCTGCCCTCAGGGGAAACAGCAGCCCCAGCTTCCCACAGTCGCAGTAGGTCCTGGCTCCCACCCCTTGGAGATGCCTCTGAAGCTGCTCAGTCTTCCTCTGGTTGCCTGTGCTCCTTTGGTGGTCTCCAGGATTCTTGTTGGATTCTGGCTCCTGGAGGGGTGAGGTTGAGTGGAGGATGCGGACTTGCGGTGTGGATGCTCATGTCACAGGAGTTTTGGGGGACTGAGGCTGCTTTAGCTTGGGCCTGACAGTCACCATGGAGGCCTCCAACCTGCTGGGTCAGGCCCTCTGGTAAGACTCCAGTGAGGGGCGCTGGACCAACATGAAGAGCACAGAGGACAGTCCTGTGGAGAGAGGCTTGGATGTGCACTGTGAACTCAGAGTGGCCAGGACACTGCATTGACCTGGTGACTTAGGCAATGGGTGGAGTATACATGGAGCATCTTCCTCTGGCTTTGCTGTACCTGGGAAAGGGACACGGCTGCTCCAGCAGCCCTTGGAGCTTCTGCTGGGTGGCTCTGCCCAGAGGAGGGCTCTCCACTCCCCCCTCTGCTGAGAGGCTGGGCAGGAAATAAGCTATTCAGTTCCACTCTGAGTTATTTTATCTTTTCCAGGGTGTGTGGCAGGATCCGTGTTGCAAGCCTAGTTCTTCTTGGCCAGAGCTACAGAGACTGTTTGAATGTGTAGGGGGCCTAGCCATTGTGGGAAGAGGGGGAGGGGTGTTCATCTAATGAGCACAGGCCAGGGACTTTCCAACACCCCCCACACACATCCAGCCAGGCTCTGTCCCCGCCCCACACTGAGCCCTCTTCTCTCTGCCTCTTGCTCCACAGAACTTTTATTCTGAAAGAACCAAGGCCCCCGGAGGTAGGAGGGTGGCAGGAGGCGGGCGCTGGCCCTGACCCTGAACAGGCCCCACCCTTTGGGCTGTTTTCCAGAGTGGTGATTCTGGGACCCTAAGGGGGGGCCTTGGGGTCCTCAGTTCTCCCCCTTATCTTCTGTCCCCAGCCTTGCTGGTCTTTAAGTAGAGGGTCCCTGTAGTCAGGCCTGCCAGTCTTCTCCCTCCTGTTGCCTTCACATTCCCATGTTCCTCATCTTTCTAGCTCTTGGCCGTGTATCCTCTATCTGCTTCCCTTTTCAGTCTTTTCTGGCCTTCTTAACGCTTGTCCTTCCCAAAGGACACTTTATCACTATTTAGAAGCTTCCCAGCCTCCCCCAGCTCTGGACAAAGGTCTCACCCTGTCCTGTCCTTCTTCTCCAACATGTAGGATGGAAGTATCAGATAGCCAGGATGCACTCAGATGTTGAACTCTGTGTAGGTGGGGCCATGCCTTGGGCCTGGCTCTGTTGAGCATATGGGGCTTTCTCAAGAATAAGGACAAGGAAATGGACAAAAAGACTCCACCAGTAGCTCCTGTTTAAATTCTTGAACCCCAGTTACAGTTTTCCAAAAGGTCTACCAGGATAGAGTTTCCACTAGTTCCCAAATTCTCAAAGCTTAATTCTTTCTTAGATGAAAAATAAGAGGTCAAATGAACTAAAGAGAGTTGAGATTAGATATTCTCAAGGGCCCTTCCCCCTTCGTCTGTTTCTTTCATCCAGGAGGCCAGACCTGGAATTGGATAAGAGGTCACTATTGGGCAGTGGAGTGTGAGAAAGAAGGACTTTGGCCTGGGGGCTGAAAGTTATAGATTAACATGGGGAGGGGTGAGGAGGGACCCAGAGGGAGAGTAAGTGGCCTGAGAAAGGGACTGCTGACCTGGGACAATCTGGGCTTGAAGGGGCACAAGCAAGAGGAGTCTGGGGACTGGCGCGGTCTGGAGGGGCCCTCAGCTCCTCTCCGGCTATTTGACCTTCCTGAAGACCTGCTCACAAACTGCATCCCTTGCAGTCAGTTCCTGGGGATAGAGTAGGAATAATGAGGAGAGAGAAGGAGGGGGGTTCTTGCCAGCAGGAGCTCCTTTCTCAAGGTCCTCGACCTCCATTTAATCCTTCAGGATAGACCAGCTAGAGCACTTCATATATGGGGAATTGTATTATCGTTCCAAACCTTCAACTTTTCACCCCAGAGGAAGGAAGGTAGCTGGGTCACGGAGTGTGAAATGGCTAAGTCTCCACCTCTACAGTTATGATTTATGGACATTCATCTGACTTGTAGCCAGGACCCACCGTGGCCACTCTATTTCTTACTCTCCACTCTTCCCAGTGCTTTTGTTTTCCTCCTTGGTTGGCTTCCTTGGAGGGGGGGCTGGGGGTGGAGTAGTAGACTTATTTGATTTGGGCAAGGGGAAGAATCCTAGCTGGAGGCCCCTCTCCCAGACACACCCATTTGTGTCTCCTTCCCCAGTCCTCTCCCAGCTTACCAGATGCAGCTTCTCTCCCTCCAGCCAGTGTCTCCAGCCCCGGTTGGGGACCTCCCCTTTCTGTACACATACAAGCTGCTCCTCCTCCCAGGTTACTATGGTCTATAGGGAAAGCAGGAAAAAATGAAGATTGGGGGGCAGGACCCCCAAAATGCATCCAACTCAGTCTGGCTGGGCTGCCCCCTCTCACACCACAGCAGATGCTGTCTTGCTCCAGCCCCTTCATTCTGAGTGAGAGAACTCCCCTCCCCCACTCCTAAAGGCCACTGAGGGGGGCCCACAGTTTGTCTACAGTGACCGCTGGGGCAGAGCAGGGATGGAGTAGGATGACCGGGGGTGAAAGTGGGGAGTGGGTGATGAAGAATGGAGACTTTGTCTTCTTGATATGTCTGGTTGACCTGAAGGGGCCTTTGCGAAAGAAGAGAGATTGGTTGGAGTCCCACCAGGGAAATCTCTTTTCTCGTCTTTCTCATTTCAAGAACAGCTGAAGTGTCCCTGAGAATGAAGGATCAACCCCCCGAATCAGAGCTGGGTGGGGCTGGGCATTCCAGGCAACATTTACTGAGCCCTCCCACAGGACAGGCCCTGCTAAACAAGGAGCTCTGATCTTGATCAGATAGAGGGGCAGCAAATAGGTATCTATGATACCAGGCAAGAGTGTTGGGGACGGGAGTAGAGAGGGAAGAGCTGAGTCTTCAAGGAAGTGAGGAGTTAATTAGATGGGAGATAACGGGAAATTTCTAGCAAGGAAAGAAACAGCATAGAGATAAGAAAGAAGGGCACACAGTTGTGAGGGCCTCTACCCAGAGTGATATGGGAAAGATCCTCGTAAGCTATAGATCTTATTTGGACTGTAACAGATTGTCACTGAAAGGGTTTAAGTCAAGGAGTGACATTGTCACTTTTACATTTTAGATCAATCCTTGTGTCTACAGTATGCAGAGTGGATTAGAAGAGGGTTAAGACTGGGGGCCAATTTCAGGCACCAGGTGAGAAATGAGGGCCTGATGAAGGTGGTGATAGAGAGAAAAGCTAGTAAGGAGCAGCAATGTTCAGTAGAAATATAATGGGTCATAAATGCAAGCCACATATATAACTGAAAGATTTGTAGTAGCCACATTAGAAAAGTAAAAAGAAACAGGTGAAATTAATTTTAGTAATATATTTTATTTAACCTAAAATATCCAAAATATTATAATTTCAGCATGTAATTAATGTAAAAATTTCTGAGATCTTTTACATTATCTTTCTGTATTGTCTTAAAAATCTAGTATGTATTTTACACTTATAGCACATCTCAATTTGGACTAGTCACACTTCAAGTGTTCAATGGCTATATACGGCTAGTAGCTACCATATTGGATAGTAAAGAAAAGTTATAAAGACTTCTTGACTAAATCGATGTGGTGCATGTGTGTGTGCTTGTGTGTGTGTGTGTGTGTGTGTGTGTGTGTGTGTTGGAGGCACAGAGGTAAGGGAGCACAAGATATTAACTGTGACTCTCAGGTCCCTGATCTGGCTGATTTATTGTCATTAAAGAAGACAGTAAATATAAAAGCAGGAATAGGTTTGGGTAGGAAGATAATGAATCTGGGGCATGCAGATGGAAACATTGTGCAGACAGTTGAAAACTTCATCCTGGAGCTCAGGAGGTAGGTCTGGCTGGAGGATTCATGTCCAGGGCAGTTTATAGATGGTAGCTGAGAGCATGGGTGTAGACGATTTAGCCCATGGATGGTGTACAGACAAGAGAGAGCAAGTCAAGAACAAAACACTGGGGGAAAACCCTAGTTTAAGGGATTAATAGGAGAACTAGAGTCTACAAAGGAGACCAAAAGGAAGACATAAGAAGCAGAAAGAAATGCAGGAAAGTGTAGTTATAGAGGCTAAGGGAAAAGAGACTGTGATGACCAACAGGGTCACAGGGTAGAGGGTGAGCAAATGTTTGCTCCTTGGCCCTAGGGTGACTTGCTCTTTTTGTCCTTTTGGCTGTGAAAAGAGGAGGCAGGGAAGAAGTAGGAGTGAGTGTGGGGGGAGCGCCGGGAGCCTGTTATCCTGGGGATTCCGCAGCCTGTGTGGTGATCATTCCCCTGGCTCTGGCTGGGAGAGGTCACTTTGTTTTGCCCCAAATTGTTAAGAGCCACCAGCTCATCCACACCCCCTCCCCACAAGCCTGAGGAAAAGTACCTGGCATTTTCGTCCATCCATGATGCTTAGGTCCTCCTCAAACTCAACTCCCACCTCAAATTCCAGAACATAGTTTCGGAAGGTGCTGAGGGTCTTCACTGTCATGTGGTTGCCCTGATGGTCAATCTCCTTGTCTGGCTTGAGCAGCAGCACTATCTTCCGTAGAGCCATGTTGATGTCTGTGGGGGCTATCTCTCAGCAAGGGTCCTCTTAGCCACCTGCAGGGCTCCCCCACCTGCAGCAGCACCTCGGGGCTGTGAGCTTCCCCTCAGCTGGGTCTGGGACCGTGGATTTACTCCCTCCCAGCAATGCCCCTGGCTAGAGATGGATCCCAAGTCAGGTGCCAGCGCCTGACCCTTTCCACAGTGTCCAACCCCAGCATCCCCCTTCCCAATGGGACAGAGAGACTGGAAGGGAGAGGGAAGGAGGAGAGTGAAAGGGTCTGGGAGGGGTGAAGCCATTACTTAGGGCTTGCAGGTAGTCCTCCATGTTCTTCTGTGAGACAAAGCGGTAGTAGCCGGTGAGGTTGGGAGGCATTGTCTGGGCTGGCCAAGATGGAGATCAGGATTTCAGGAGAATATAGGAGACAGGGTGAGGAGGAAAGGGTGTTGTCTGGCAGGTGAGGCTGAGAGACTCCAGGCCGGCATCCACACACACACAGGCAAGCTGTGTAAAGGTCTGTGCTCCCGGGTTTTTATAGGGCTAGGGCTCTGTTGCAATAAGAGTTCCTACCAGACTTCCTCCCTCCCCCTATGATGAGTTTGGGGCTGTTGTCTGCAGCCTGAGGGAGGGGCAGAGACTTGGCAAGGTTCTGCCTGAACTTGGCTTTTCCTGAGGAAGGAACCTGGAGCAGGATCTGGGGGCTGTCAGTTATCCAAGACTTGAGTCTTTCCGAAGGTCAGTTTTGGCTTCCTGCCCATTTCTGGCAGGCCTGGGAACCATCCCAGGGCCCTGAGGGGCAGGCAGTCTCCCCTGGGAGGGAGCTAGTGCTGCTGTGTGGAATGGGGGCTCTTCTAGGCTCACCCAGGGATGAGTGCTAACAATATCCTGAGATCCTGAGACTGAGTCAGGGATCCTGAAAGGTATGAGGGGGAGGAGGTGGTGAAGGAAGGGGGACAGCCAGCTGGCTGGGAGCCGCTGTGGAGGAAATCCTATCGCGAGGGCCCCACAGCTCCCTCAGACAGCGTCATGAGCTGGAGCCCCAACTCCAGCGCTCCAGATCCTTTGTCCTACAAGGCCACTGGGGGGAGCAGGGAAGCTGCCCTTTCCAAGCACAGAGGGGCCGTCAGCAGCCTGATGAGGTGCTGAGTTCAAAGTCCAGAGCAGGTGAGGGAGGAGTTTGGTTGGCCCTTTTGGAGAATTTGTACTCTTTGGCTTGGGATCCAGGATTTCCCTCTCCCTCTGGAGTCACTGATGACACATCACACCCAGTCCCCAGCCCTTGGACAGCCCATGCTTACCACAAGTATTCCCATGGTGGGCGGCCAGCCTAAATTATTATGTAGCCTGCCTCCAACTGCCCTCCCCCTCTCTCTGAAACCTACCAACTTCCCTGGCTTCAGAACCAACTGGATTGGTTCATCACGGTTTAAGGTGGGAAATTCGGGGAGGGGTAGGCAGGGAGGTTAGGCAGTGGGAAAAATTCCACCTGGTGGTGAACTGTCCCTACAGGTGTGGGTGTGGGGGGCGGAGGGGGGCGGCGGGGGTGCACTAATACCTCACTCTTCCTCCAGTCCCAGAGCCCTTTCCATCCCCTGCTGAGCATCCCATGGTTTCCTCAGAGACCCGGGGCTGGGAACCGAAATGCTAGGATCCCTCGGGTGCGGGCTGAGGGTTTTACTTCAGCTTCCCAGGAGGCACGCAGCAGGAACCTGCTGATGGATCGGGCTGTGAAAAGAGGTTAATGCAGAGTTGGTGGTGTCGGAAGGGCGGGGGCGGGGGTGACGCGGATATCGCCGCTCCGCGGCCCCCTCAGGTCTCCGTTGACGTCTCCCTTCCCCACCCCCGGGCTTCTGGCTTCTTGATTCTCCCAACGTCTCTCTTATTTCCCACCCCCTCTACGGCTTTCCAGCTTCCTCCCCAGCCCCCGCAGTCCCCTTGCTCCCCCAAATTGCAGTCAGGGGAAGAAGCCCTAACACATTCTCCCGCCCCTGCTCCCCAGTCTCATTGGTTCCCTCCCCCCCTGCAGCACCTGGCCTCCCCCGTTACCCGATTGGCCAGAGGCCCCATCGATCCTCGCCTGGCTGTGCTGACGTCATCCTGCAGTAGCGGGGATGGGGGAATGAGAGAGAGAGAGTGAGGACGCCGGGCTCTAGAGCGAACGAGGAGAAGCCACTGCAAGTCCCCCACCTCTGCCACCCAGGTTGGGGTCTGCCCAGGTTTGCTCTATGGGCTAGTGTGGGCTGCAGGCCCCTCTCTGTTTCTGCCCTGCTGCCCGCTGTCTTCCCTCTCCTCCTTGGGGAGCCCCTGCGTCCCTCCCCCAAGGTGGAATAAGCGGGCTCAAGGCTCCCAGGGGAGAGCGATCGCCTGGCCCTGCCCTTCCCCACACCACATCATGGCCCTTCTGCTGTTGCCCCTCTTGCTGGCCTCCCTCCTCCCCTGCAGCTCCTGTAACAAAGGTGAGTGAGGTGGGGGGTGGGGGCACTGAAATAGGGGTATCAGGCAGGGCGAGGAGGGGTAGGGTGGGCAGGAACTGTTGAGGCTCTCTGGCACATGACAGGTGTCAGGTTCTTCTGCCCATCCCCCTTCCCCTTCGTTTTTCTCAGACCTGACCCCTCTCCTCTCCCTCACATCCCCCTTGCCACATGCTCCTGTTTGGTCCATCTCTACCCATGTGCTTCTTTTCCTCCCATTTGGTCCCCATTCCCATCCTGGGATCTCTGTCTCCTTCTCCCCCAATTTCTCCCTGCTGGAGATAGCTCAGGTCTCAGAAGGACTTGCCCCCGAGGGGCGATATATGTCTCTGGGTGGTTCTCCGTTTTCACTGGGGTGTGCCCGCTCTCAGGGTGTGTGGCAGATCCATCTGGTTCATCTCCATCCCATCCTGGGGAGAAACTATTCCTTGCAGCTCAGCAATTCAGAGCACGTATGTTTTGGTGTGTTGTTCTGCATCCATACCCTTATGCCTGCATACAGCTGGGCTGTGGGTTACCAGAGCTGCCCTCTCTGGCAGATAGCAGATAAATTCAGCTGGGTGAGGCTGTGAGAGGGACCAAGAGGGAAGGAGGGAGAGAGGGGGTTGGGCTCAGGTAGGTGGAGAAAGGCAGGAAAGGGCAGAAGTGGGTTTGTGAGGGTGCTAAATGAGTGGTGAGAATGAGAAGGGAGATGAGGCGTGGGAGGGGGATAAGAAGGGGATGGAAAAGGGTAAAGGTGGAGGCAAAAGAAGAGAGAGAAATGAAAGGGAAATCAGGAAGAACAGGTGAGGAGAGGGAGAGGGGGAGAGTCAAAGAAGGAAGAGACAGGGAGCCCAGGAGTGAGTGAAAGGAGATGGACACAAGGAGAGAGTCGAGTGGGTGGCCGAGAGGAGAGGAGCAGGGAGACCAGGGAGAGGAGCAGGGTTGGAGGGGTGAGCTGTGGAGAGGGTGCCCAGTGCTGGCCTTGCTGTGTGCAGCCCCTCCATATTCGGGCTGTGGCTCCTCACCTCAATCTCTGACCTCAGCCCGGCTTCTTAGCCTTTTGCCACTTCCTGTGCTGCCTCTGAGCACCATCTTGTGGCTTTTTCCTCTGCCATTAGAGAGGGGGTTATGGTGGTCATCTGTAAGAGAGGGGCAGGCATTCAAATACCAAAGGCTTTTTGGGGTGTGGTTGGAAGAAAGAATGGAAGTCAGGATTTCTTGCTCAGTATGAGATACTGGGATGAGTTTCCTTTTGGTAACTCAGTTTCCCTCTGATGATACGTCTTTCTCTGCCAATGTCCTGCTGGTGGGCCATCATGAATGTGCTTTCGGAGCCTGGGGGTTGGCGTGATGGGATTATATAGAGCAAGCAGTGGAGGTTGGGATTGGGGGGTGATGTAGAAGGGGAAGGGAACATGCTGCGCCTTCCCCATAGCCCCTCAGCAGGCTAGTGGAAGATTGGTCCTGGGGAGGAGACACAAATGAGCCGAGTCTGGTAGGAGATGGTGAGATCTGGAGCTGAATGAGTCCCACATCCATCCTGGATTGGCTGCTTGTTGAAGGGAAGAGGGGTGGGGTAGGCAAGAATTAGGACTAAGACATAAGTCTGTATCAAATGTGGGATTCAGGGAGTGTGAGGTTTGGTGGCCTTGTGGGGGACATAGAAATGTTATGAGTAATGAGTGTGTTCTCTTGGGTGTTGGGGTGAGAAGCAGGGAGGGGATTTGTTTCTAGGCCAGTTCAATAATCCCTTAGGATGTCAGCTCTGCTGGATATGGTCATTTGGCATTGATTCCTCTGCTCCATCCCTGCCCCTCTGTCCTATATATTTCCTCTTCTCTCTTTTCTCCTCTCAACTCTGTAAGAATGGCCTTAGGTTGGGGCTTGGCTGGGAGTGCAGAGTGAAGCGATCAGGATTGAAATGGTGTTGTGGTGGTGGTGGAGAGGATAAACCATCAGGATCTCAGGAAACTTCTCGATCTTCCTCTTTTCCTAATCTCAACTCTGCCATTAATCTATCCCTTCCCTTTCCCAGGGCCTTCTGATGGCCCACCACTACTCCCTGGATCCCCAGTCTCTACTCTCCAACACCTGAAATCCCTAAAGAAAATTCTCCACCCTCTGACCATGTTTCCCGCGGGAGACAGTGGTCCCCCTCCCCGACAGGGCAGGCTGTTGTCATGGAAACTGTCTATCCTGCCATAGGAGAGGACTGTGATCTCCCACAGACCCTCTTTTTTTTTTAAAAATTAATTAATTAATTAATTAATTTTTTTCTTTTCTTTTTTTATTTTTTTTATTTATTGCAGTAACATTGGTTTATAACATTGTATAAATTTCAGGTGTACATCATTATACTTCTATTTCTGCATAGATTACATCATGTTCACCACCCAAATACCAATCACAACCCATCACCACACACATGTGCCCAATTATCCCTTTCGCCCTCCCCCCTCCCCCCTTCCCCTTTGGTAACCACCAATCCAATCTTCCCACAGAACCTCTGACTCCTTTAATAGTCGATTTCTTGTCCTCAGCCCTTCCTCCTGCAGGTGCTTCAGCAGGGGTGGAAAGGGTGCTGGTGCCGGTGGGTGTGGGTCAACAAGGGTTGGGTGGGAGTGGAGGGCCAGCTCACAAGTGCTTCCTCTCTTCTCACTGGGGGGTCAGCCAACAAGCACAAGCCTTGGATCGAGGCAGAATACCAGGGCATCGTCATGGAGAACGACAACACAGTCCTGCTGAACCCACCACTCTTCGCCTTGGACAAGGACGCCCCCCTGCGATATGCAGGTAATTGGGTTTGGGGCATGGCAAGGTGGGTATGACAGAGGGCAAGGGAAGAGAGAGGAGGTCCTGGGAGGAAGGGCAGTGAGGAAGTGGGGAAGAGGCCTTGGGAAAGCGGAAGAAGAAGCAGGCTCAAGGAGGAGAATGGGCTACATTGAAGAATTGTGGTTGAGTTAAGGGAACCAGGGAGAGGGACGTGGCCAGGCAGGGGTTAAATGCATCAAGATTTTGCTAGATCTCATAGCCAGTGGCTCTAAGAGGTTGCCCCTCAGGGAAGCTGGGATTGGAGCTGTATGTTTGATAACTACTGCTGTCATGTGTACAAGAGAAGGGACAGGGGTTTGGGAGGAGAGGTGAAGTGGGAACTCAAGGCAGGGAGGCTGAGGTTGGGAAGGAGATGCTGGAGGTGGTTGCAGGAGCCTCATCCCTCCGTCCCCACTCCGCAGGTGAGATCTGTGGCTTCCGGCTCCACGGGTCTGGGGTGCCCTTTGAGGCTGTGATCCTGGACAAGGCGACGGGCGAAGGGCTGATCCGGGCCAAGGAGCCAGTGGACTGTGAGGCCCAGAAGGAGCACACCTTCACCATCCAGGCCTATGACTGTGGCGAGGGGCCCGATGGGGCCAACACCAAGAAGTCCCACAAGTGAGGAAGCCCTTGTCCCTGTCCCCTGCTGCAGGGCCCTCCTCCCTCCTCCCAAGCTCCTCACCATCCTCTGTCCATGCCTCATAGACTAGCTATCCCCTCCCCTCTCTGTTCATAGGTTTAGAGACAGAGTCTTTGTCCTCCAGGAGCCTTCAGTCAAGGTGACAGAAACATACAGTAGAACTCAGTGGGATCTAATCCTGGTTCTGCCTCTTATGACCTTGGGCAACTTAGCCCTTTTGGATCTGTTTTTCCTTATCTGTCAAATGGGGATAATGATGATACCTACTTCTTTAGGTTGCCGTGAAGATGAAAGGAGATGGTTTGTGTAAAAAGTGTGCGCCACAGTGCCTGACACATAGGAAAAGGCACACTACATGGGAGTTACAATGATGAGGAGGAAGAAGATGAGCACACTGAGCACACATCCAGATCCCTTCCAACTGCCTCACCTGTCTATTTGTATTGTGCACCACGCTCACACACATAATGTGTACACGCACAGCTCCAGGTGAGGGTGGACAGGAGATGGCTATGGCATGAAAGAGGCTGGGGCCCAGGACACCTATGTCTGTTCCCAGCTAACTTCTCATTTGAGAACGGGAGAAAGATTGGCAGTCAGGATTCCAGGGCCACTAAGAGGCACTAGAGATAAACCAGTCCTTGTGACTCAGTTTCCCATTTGCAGACAGGACCCTTGCCTCTGGGCCCTGGGGGCCTGGATCTTGGCTAGGGGCGTGGCTTGGTACAAGAGGCTTAGCCCCAGCTCTGCTTGCCCCGTGGGTGCCTGAGTAGAGAGGGCCCACAGCTGACATGCACATTGCGCACACGTGCGCAGAAGGCTGCACTCATCTCACGTGTGCTATTCATGTCAGATGACTTATGGCTTTTGAACAAATGCCACTTCCCTTCCCACGGTTGGTTTTAATTTGGCTTTTACTCTGCATCTTCCTTTATTATCCCATCAGATCTGACTTGTGAAGGAATGACCTGCTGGACACAAAATCCTCTGCCTTACCCCTGGTTTTGGCACCCCAACCTATAGCATTCTGTACAGAAGTCATTGAATCAGCTGCTGGCGCCCCCTGGGATTGTTCCTTACCCCTTACATCAGTCACTGTTTCCCTCAAGGGCTCTCCCTCTTTTGGTGCCTGGGGCCCTGGGGGGCGGGGATGAGCATGCTGACTGCCCCAAGCTCAGGGACACACTGGCTCCCTCCTGCTCTGATTCCCTGTCTGGATTCCTACTTGTGCCTCTCCTCGAGTGTTGAGTATCGAGGCTGGCTGACTCTTCCTTGTCCCTCCTCCGCTCTGGCACGTGCAGGGCGACTGTGCATGTGCGGGTCAACGACGTGAATGAGTTTGCTCCGGTGTTTGTGGAGCGGCTGTACCGCGCTGCAGTGACCGAGGGGAAGCTGTATGACCGCATCCTGCGGGTGGAAGCCATCGATGGTGACTGTTCCCCCCAGTACAGCCAGATCTGCTATTATGAGATCCTCACACCCAACACCCCCTTCCTCATCGACAATGATGGTGAGTCCAGCCCCTGCCCACCCCAGCTGTCCAACCCTTGTGTTCCCACATCCCTCAGGTTACCCCAGGGCTGTGCTCTCTACTTCTCCTGCCCCTCAGATGCTCACTCCACACCCTCCATCCCAGATGTGGAGATTTTTTCCCAGATACCTTCTTTCCTGCTTCCTGCTGCCTAATTCACCTGTGCCCGATTAGCTCACGAGTCCTTCCCTTGCCTGCCTGGGCTTTCTCTAGTGCTTCTGACCCTCTCTGTCCTCCCCCACCTGAACCCCCACCCCAGGGAACATTGAGAACACAGAGAAGCTGCAATACAGTGGTGAGAGGCTCTACAAGTTTACAGTGACGGCTTATGACTGCGGGAAGAAGCGGGCGGCAGATGATGCCGAGGTGGAGATCCAGGTGAAGCCCACCTGTAAACCCAGCTGGCAAGGTGAGGAGCTCAGCTCTGTGACCCATCTTATGAATCATCTTTTACTTTGGTCTCCCATTTTGTCCCTCCTGACAATCATGGGGGCTTGGCTACGAGTCAGGGGAGGGATATTTGGGAGCAGGCTTGTAGCTGTCTACCCTGGCTGGCCATTTTCCTATGAGCTGAGACTGCCAGTGGACATGGCAAGAGCAGAATGGATAGGAGGGGCTGCCTTACCCTTCTCTCTCTCCACTGCCCTCTCTCTCTCACCCGTGCAGGCTGGAACAAAAGGATTGAATATGCACCAGGCGCCGGGAGCTTGGCTTTGTTCCCTGGTATCCGCCTGGAGACCTGTGATGAACCTCTCTGGAACATTCAGGCCACCATTGAGCTGCAGACCAGCCATGTGGCCAAGGGCTGTGACCGCGACAACTACTCAGAGCGGGCACTGCGGAAACTCTGTGGTGAGTGTGCCCTAACTCCCCAGGCCTGCCCCTTCCCACTCAGCCTCTGCCTGACCCTCCTCTGCCTCTTTCCTAAGAATCTGCCTTACATCTTCCCTTGTCCATCTACAGGTGTATATATCCACAGAGGTTGTGGCATGTTGTTAGCTGTTGTGGCCCCAAAAGCAAATAAATATGTCATTGGCAAAGATGCATAATTGTAGCATAAGACAGTCACCAGCTACATTGTGGAACAATGGTAGGGGGAGATGAAGAGTTGGAGAAGGAGTTGAGTCAATTGGAGAGCTGTTCCTACAAGAGAGGTCCATCCCTCTCTCATCTCTGAAAGGCCAGAAGAGGTGGTGAGACTAGCTGTAGTCTCCCATCAGTCTTCCCATCAGTCACTCTTTCCCTGCCTGCTTCCCATTTCCCCATCTGCTACTTCTCAGCTCTGACTCTCCTGCCTTGTGGGGCTCCTGCAGGTGCTGCCACTGGGGAGGTGGATCTGTTGCCCATGCCTGGCCCCAGTGCCAACTGGACGGCAGGACTCTCGGTGCACTACAGCCAGGACAGCAGCCTTATCTACTGGTTCAACGGCACCCAAGCTGTGCAGGTGCCCCTGGGTGGCACAGCTGGGCTGGGCTCTGGGCCCCAGGACAGCCTCAGTGACCATTTTACCCTGTCATTCTGGATGAAGCATGGTGTAACTCCCAACAAGGGCAAGAAGGAAGAGGAAACCATTGTGTGTAACACTGTCCAGAATGGTGAGCCTTCCTCAGGGCACTGGTCTGAGAATGGGGACACTGGCTTCTTGTCCTGCTCTGTCACTGGCCAGTCTGTTCCTGTGAATGGGCCATTTCTTCTCTCTCATTTGTAAGATGGCAGTGCTAGGTTTGATACTCCCTGAAACTCTGTGATTGACTCCCAACATGACGAGGTGAGAGCCTACTGCCCTCAGAGGGCACTGGGACTGCTCACTGCTGTTCTCATTTGCAGTTGCCCAGTCCCCCTGCATCCCACATGTAGTAGATTGCCCCCAAATCTGCTCCCATTAAAGCCCCTCCATTGCAATGGAAAAGGCTGGGTAATGGTCTGCCCCATTCTTTCTCTTCCATCACCATCCCAATCCGCCTCCCATAAGGGCTCGTTGGCTCCATCTGTAAGTACCCCTCCTCCCTCCACTGCAGTGGCACATCCTTCTAGGGAGGGCTCAGCTTTGACCTGCTCTTTCATTTCTGCAACTTATCTGAGCTCATTTCTGTTGACCTGAAAGGGATTGTCGCCCATGATGTTTGTATTAACCAAAGGACCAATAAAGATCTGGGTGGGAGCAGGCTGAACAGTGTCCCCCCTCAGCCAGCCAGATGCCTGAGAAGCCCTAGTTATCACCTGGACTGGAGTCCGTGTGTGTGTGTGTGTGTGTGTGTGTATGTGTGTCAGAGAGAGACTGAGAGAGAAAGGAGACGCTAGAGCATGCGGGAGTGAGAGAGCACCTGAGAGGATAAAGAGAATCCAGCATCCTCTCCCTCCTGGTGCTTTGAACATGTTCTTGCTTCAAGGCCAGTGTTTGACCCCCGTCCCCATTGTCTCCCCTCAGAGGACGGCTTCTCTCACTACTCACTGACCGTCCATGGCTGCAGAATTGCCTTCCTCTACTGGCCTCTGCTTGAGAGTGCCCGCCCAGTCAAGTTCCTCTGGAAGCTGGAGCAGGTGAGGCCGGTGCTAGGCTCCTGGGAAAGCTGGGTGATATAACTTACTTTCAGGGAAGGAGGGTGCTAGGGCAGGGGTTGGCATTTACTGGGTTGCCCTATGCCCCCTCTTTCATTCTCCTCTATCAGTTCCTGACCATTCTACCCCCAAGGCTTGTCTCCTGCAGAAAGCACTCCTGGACTAAAAGGAAATAGGAAAGAAATTACTACTAACATCAAACCCAACCAACCTTCTCTTTCCCCCTTGTTTTATTTCATTTCCTTTTTATCTAGAACCTTAACAGTACATATCGCTGACTCTCCAGCAGTGAGCATGTTGTAAGCGAAGACATGAGTAATTCTGAGGGACACAGACTGGCTTTGAGTCCTGCCAGGGGAACTTACTAGCCATGAAATCCTGGTCAATATGTTTAAACCCCTGTTTCTTTACCTATTAAATGGGGATAAGAAGGGTTCTATATCCCAGAGTTGTTGTAGGATGAAATGATGTAGTAGACCTTTACAGACTGAAAAGCAATCTATACATTTTAATTCTTACTATTATTATCCATGATTAGGAGGGATAAATAAAAATGGCCAAAAAAATGTAAAATCCTCTCTTGAGCCAACAATTGTAGCCTCTTCTTTATTCCTTCTCCAAGTGGACCACAGGGACCCGTGGGGATTAATTTGAGTTTCCATCTCCTGTTTTTCTTGCAAGTGGTGGAGAGACTGAGTAAGCAAATGGCTGAAAAAAGGCAGGAAGTGGAGGGGAAAGAAGGGGAAATGAAGGGCCTAGGAAATCCACAAACTGGATCATTGAAGGCTCTCTACAAAAGCTTTTGCTTTTTGTGGCATTCTTTTAAAGAGATAGTCTGCCATTTGCTGCTTCTTGATCTTCCCCCCACATTGCTAATATTGGTAACATTACTTTTTCTGTTTTTCTTTCGTTTAGTTTAATTTATTCAACAAATATTTATTAAATACCAATACCCTGTCATTGTGCTAGGTTCTGGAGATACAATGGAGTATAAGATGGAACAAAATCTTTGCCTTCATTGAGCTTACATTTTAGTTGGGGAGCTAGATTTTTAACAAGTAAGTAGACATACAAAAATGGTAAATTGTGATAAATACTCAGAAAGAATAAGCAAGGGACTGAGGTAGAGAATAGAGGGAGGCAAGGGGAGAGAAACTCACCTTAGATCAGATATTCAGGGAAGGCCTGACGGGCATGAAATGTAAACTTATCCTAAAGGATGAGAAATAGCTGTGGGAAGAGAGTATTCCAGGCAGTGGGAAAAGCAGATGCAGAGGCCCTGAGGCAGGAAAGAGCTCAGCATGTTCCAAGCATGGAAAGAGGGCCAGTGAAGTTAGAGTGCAGTGAATAAGGGGGAAGACTGGATTTGACATTGGAGAGATGGGCAGTGATCAGGTTGTACAGTGGACTTTGTCAGCTGGGGTTCATTTGGATTTTGTCCTATGAAAGATGGGAAGCCTTTTGAAGAGTTTAAAGCAGGGATGTGACCTGATCAGATTTACATTTTAAGAAGATGCCTTTGGCAACTATGGGAGGAATGTATTGGAGAGATATGACAGGGTAGGTATACAGATAAGACTGTTGCAACAGTACGTAGGTGAAAGGTTGAGGACTTGAGTGATGTGTGGCAATATAGATGGAGAGAACTGCATAGAAACCCACAGCTTTTACTTCTGTTTGGGCCTAGGATGGACAGTACCCACTGATGGATTGGATGTGCAGGATGAGAGAAAGAGAGCACCAAAGATGTCTCCTAGGTCATTCATTTGAGCAACTGGATGGGCGGTGGAGCGTTTATCCTGCCCAAGGGATTAGGAAGGGGTGTGGACTTCCATCTTACACACATGAAATTTGAGATGCCTGTGAGACATCCAAGTGGCGAGCATTCAAAGAAGAGTTCTGGGCTGAAGATGAAGATTTTGGGGTTATCAGCATAAATATGGTATCTGAACTTCTAGGAACAGATGTGGTAACCCCTAGGAAGAGAGTGTAGAGAGAAAAGGGGGGAGAGTCTAGGTTGAACCTTGAGGAATTCCAACATTTGGAAATTGATAAGGCAGAGAACTCTCTACCCCTCGTTCTTCTGACCATGCCTCAACCCATCTTGACTGAACCTGGAGAAACTGCAGAGGGAAGCATGTTTGTTTTAGTGATTCCTGCTGGCTTACAAACTTGGAGGTTCTAGTGCTGTACACACATACATACAACATTTTGGGGGAAAAATTTATTCACAAAATAGTGTTACTTCTCTTAGAAATATTTATAGTTTTAACGATTTACCTGAAGAGTGGAATTTTAGGTACTAGGTTGGTGCTTCATAGATTCTGGGCAAGGATGTTACTCCTGGAGCTGGGTAGGCAGCAATTCACTAGTAAACCCTGTTGAACTGGGAATATGAGGGACTGTTTCCTGTCTCCCAGGAGAAGGGGCAGTGCCTTGCGTTAGTTCCCTGAAGATGAAGTAAGTGAGGGGTTCTTTCCCCTAGGTCTGCGACGATGAGTGGCACCACTATGCTTTGAACCTCGAGTTCCCCACAGTCACACTCTATGCTGACGGCATCTCCTTTGACCCTGCCCTCATCCATGACAATGGTCTCATCCACCCACCCCGGAGGGAACCTGCTCTCATGATTGGGGCCTGCTGGACTGGTAAGTCCCCCTGAACTTCTTAATGAAAACACAGAAGGTTGGAGCCTCCAGTGGCTTAGGATTGGTGAAGGAGCAAGGGTAGCCTGACCTTCATACATCCCCCTGCAGAAAGGTCTCCAGTGGAGGAGACCACAGCCCCCCATTACTCCCACGCATTCAGCTGATCATCACCTCTGACTTGGAGGAATTTCCTTCTCAGATATCACCAGAGTCTCTCTTTCTGTAACTTCAGCCAGTTCCCACTTTGTTCTATCATAATGATGGTTTCCACAGCCCAGTCCACTGCAGGAGGCCAGTAACCCTTCAGAGAGTCATCAGTCTTCTGATTTTTAAGCTATTTCTTTCATTTTTTCCTTCTGGGGGAGAGAGAGAGAGTGCGTGTTTGTGTGCGTGTGTGTGTGTGTGTGTGTGTCTTACCAGAACCCTTGTGTATCCTCAGCAATAAATTTGGGGGTTTGTCTATAACAGAGAGATTGAGACATGATAAAAGAAGGTTTGGGACTCAACCTAGAGGTTGGAAGTCCTACATGGGCAGGGACAGAGCAGGGAAGACCTCTTCTTCCTGTCTGTCCCCACAACCCTGAGCTCACTGCCACTTTTTTTTCCCTCCAGAGGAGAAGAACAAAGAGAAAGAAAAGGGAGGAGACAACAGTACGGACACCACACAAGGTACTCTGTGTGTGAGACCTGGAGACCAGAGAGTTCTGGTCTGTTAACTTTCTGTTCCCTTTTCCACCCCCCCATCCTATCCAGCCTCACTATTTACTGCCTCACACGCCACCAGGGGGCAGAGCCTCCGAGAACCACAGCAGTGCAGGGTTTCCTCGGAGAGGTAAGGCCAGATGGAGCTTGGCGGGAGCCCGGGTGTCCTTTCCTGCCTACGGAATGAAGTAAAGGAGTTCTCTCGCTGGCTTTCCATGTAGCAGAACACAGGAGGCAGGAGCCAGTCACCTGGCAGGGAAGATCTGGGCATCTGTGAAGCTGGCACACATTCATCCTAGTCTCCTTGCATGCCCCCGTGAAGATGCCCTCTGCTGCAGGCTCCTCCTTTTCCTCGTTGTGCCTCTTTCCTCTCTTTGATTTTGCTTTCCTTCTGCCCTTTCTCCCTCTCCCGGAAGCTCTTCTCATTTCTGTTGCTTCTATTTTTCACCCTTCTTCTTCTCCTGGTTTTATTTTGTTCTCTCTCTCTGCCTTCTCCAGTCTCCCCCTTAGCCTCACTTCCCCCCCATCTCTCATCTCTCCTCTTTCCTTCTGTCAGTGTGCACCTTTCTCCTGTTCATTTTCTTTCTCAAGCCTTCTGCTCTTTCTCTCTTTTCCCTTTCTCTTAGTCCCCTCTCCTCGTTCCATTCCTCTTCTCCTCTCACCTCCTCTTACCTCCCGTCCACCCCTGTGTTCCTGCCCTAGGAGACCCCTTGCCGATCCACCACTACTTCCATGGCTACCTGGCTGGTTTCAGCGTGCGCTCAGGCCGCCTGGAGAGCCGTGAGGTCATCGAGTGCCTCTATGCATGTCGGGAGGGGCTGGACTATAGGGATTTCGAGAGCCTGGGCAAAGGCATGAAGGTATAGCCCCTTCCTCTAGCCCTCTCCTTCCGGGCATGCCCCCTGCCCACCACCCTTGCCCCACCTCTCTACCTCTGCTCCCTTCCTCTCCCGCCTCTGATCCTGCTCTCAGCTGTGTCTGTGTCTGGGGCCCAGGTCCACGTGAACCCCTCGCAGTCCCTGCTCACCCTGGAGGGGGATGATGTGGAGACCTTCAACCATGCCCTGCAGCATGTGGCTTACATGAACACTCTGCGCTTTGCCACGCCTGGCGTCAGGCCCCTGCGCCTCACCACTGCCGTCAAGTGAGTGTTGGGTGGGGCGGGCAAATCACAGAGCAGAGCCAGGCGGTGTCAGAACTCCTTGGCCTTAGACATCGCCTAGGGCTAGGCACACTTCCCTTGTTTTGTGGCTGGGGAGACTGCACCCCCAGAGAGGACAACAGACCTGCTCAATTGACATAGCTATGTTGGTAAAAGAGCCTGGACTAGACTCAGATTTCCCAACAACTGATTCATTACTCTTTCTACTAAGCTACATTTCCAGGATTTGGGGTTTTAATCTTCTCTGTGCTGATATGTAAAGTGGGACAGAGAGGGTACTGGGTTGGGAGCCTGGAGACTTGATGTTACTTCTTACTCAATACTGATTGCCTGGATGACCTTGGGCAAATAGATCTAGCTGTTTCACCTATTTTAATCTTGATTCATCAAACTCTTGCAAGGTCAAATAGGATGATCTCAGTCTGGGGGTTGGCAACCTATGGCCCCAAGGCCAAATCTGGTCTGCCACGTGTTTTTGTAAATAAAGTTTTATTAGGACACAGCCATGCCCATTCATTTGCATATTGTTTATGGCTGCTTTCCCACTGTGATGGCAGGGTTGAGTAATTGGGACAGAAACTGTAGGGCGCCTCAAAACTGAAAATACTTACTGACTGGCCCTTCATGGAAAAAGTTTGCTGACCTCTGAGTTCTAGGGGAATGATTCTGAATTCTTTAAAAGAAAGAGTGTAGATTACTTCAAGGTTTGAGTATATTAGGTGTTTAAAAATACAGATTGACTGAGAGGTAATGAAAGCTGATAGTTAAGAACACAGGGACTATTACTAGCTTTTTAGCTTTGAGCAAATGCTATAAAGCAGGAATAACAAAATCTAATTCATGGAATTGTTATGAGAACTACATGATATAATCCAGATCAAATGCCTAGCAGCATGCCTATTCTGCAAATGTTGGCCATTATTATATGAAGGCTTTTTCACCCCTTGTTATGGTTTATATGGCAGTTTTTAGGAGATACTGCCATCTAGTGGGTGAATTACACAATGTAGGAGTCAGGATTCGTGAGTACGTGTTCCCTTCTCCCCTACTCTGCCTCAGTTTCTCCATAAGCTATATGAAGATAAACATCTCTGACTTGTCCCTATCCTGGGAAGGGTGGATTTAGAGAGGCGAGGGCTCTGAGCCCTAGACAGTGACTGGGCATGATTATCAGGCCTCACAGTTAGAGCCGTGGAAGGCAGAGACCGGGCTTTTGGGAATGATGTGGTCATGGTGGAGAGCTGAAGGGCACAGGTAGATGAGGCCACGTGGGCAAGGATCAGAGCTGAGTATGCGCCCCACCATGTTCTAGTCAGGACTCTAGTTGTTAAAGGGCTGTTGTCATCCAGTTATGAAGGGCTTAATCTCTCAGAGACCAAGCAGTTGCCTCATCCTCCTCAGTCTGTCAGGACCACGTCAGAAGGGTAGGCTCTGTCTTTTGGCTTAGGTGGAGCGCTATGAGGGGTGTCTCACAGGGGGAGGAGTTGACATCCTTTCTGTTGACTGGCTCATCTGAACTCTTCCTGCCTCTTTCAGGCCCAGGGAAGAGGCTTGTCCAAGGGCTGGGAACCTGACTTTGGTCCTTTAGCAGAGAGAAGGGGCCTTGTTGTTTTCTTTATGAGGTTAAGGAAGAGACAGCTCTCATTTCTTCATTTTTAGGGCTTCATGTGGTTAGTGCTACCCTAATACTTCCTTGAGGTGGTGGGAGAAAATATAGAAGGGTGTGTGTGTGTGTGTGTGTGTGTGTGTGTGTGTGAGAAACAGGGAGAGACAGATACCTAGCAGCACCTCCCTTCCTCTGAGGCATATCCTTGCCATAGTCCATGTGGCTTCCCTAACTTCCAGTGTTTAGTTCTTGGACCTGTGTTTAAAGCCAGATTTATGTAACTGTTCAGTCAATGCAGGTTTTCCCTAAGGTTTTTTTGTGGTCTCTTTCTTGGAAAGCCCATCTACTCATGGCATTAACCCCTGAACAGATGGCTATGATGTCTTTTTCTTCAGCGTTGTCCTCTTTCCATAGCTCTTGAATTTCTACCTGCTCCCTATAACCTCTATCTAAATATTCTGCCAGCACCTCAAACAAATGAGCGAAAGCTGAAATAATGAACTTCAGTGCCCAAACTAGCTCCTCCCCCTGAATTCTCTATTTCTGTAGAGGTGTCTCTGTCCTTGCAATCTCCCGGGTTTAGACCTCTGAGTCATCTTGGATTCCTCCCTGTCTTTATCTCCCATGCCCCATCAGTTGCCAGGTCACCTAGATCCCACCTCTGTGCCAGGTGTCTGGAATCTGTCTCCTCTTTTTCTGTTTCTGCTATTGCGACTCCAGCCCAGGCTCTTGTTACCTCTCACCTGGCCTATTGCCATAGCCTCCTAACTAGCTGACCTATCTCTAGTGTTCTAATTGTGGTTTACCCTCCACCCTGAGACTAGGTTAGTGATCTTAAGTCAGAATTTTCATCCTCACACCTCCCTGATGAAGAAGACATCGATGGCTTCCTCTCGCCCACTGCACAAAAATTGTACTCAAAGCCCTCAACCATCTGGCCCGAGCCTTTCCTGCCTTGTGTTCCTCTACTCCCCTTAGTATTCTCCTCACCTTCTGCCTAGTGAAGTCCTACCCTCCTTCAAAGGCTAGCTCAATTGCTACTTTTCTTGATTATTCCTACCCTCCTTTGCCAGACACTCCATTCCCATCCTAGCCAGAAATAATCCCTCCCCCTCTGCACTCTCATGGGTTTTGTTTGTTCCACTCATGTGATGGTGACCATGTTTGCCCTTGTTTTAAGGGTTGTGTGCCACATCTAATATCTCCAGATCATTAGTCCCTTCAGGTCAGGGACAGCCCCCTCTTCCCCTTTGGGTCCCCTTTGGGTTGCTCACCGCAGTGGGAATGTCTGTTGGAGCCTGTGCTCCCAGGGTCAGCTGGGGTTGTTTCCCAAGAGGCTTTGATCTGGGCCTCTCTAAATGACAGTGCAGATTGTCTTAGGCCCCACTCCTTGTGGCAGCAAGTGATAGGCACTGATAACTTCAGGGGCTCTGAGCTCATCATATCTGTTGAGGTTGTACCTTCTCCTTTTTGCCTCCAGCAGTCAAGCTGGGCTTGCTCAGGAGCACTAATAACAGTCTTCTCAGCAAAATCATTTCAGTTAGCACAACCATATGGACATAGTCTTTGCTCCTGAATTACCAACTCCCTTGTGAAGACTGTTTGTGCAAGCGGGCACTCGTTTATAAATTTGACTGGTGCAAACCCAGGCCCCAAATTGTGGCTATGGTTTAGTGGAAAGATCGTGGACTTGGAATGAGAAGAGTGGGTTTAAGCCTTGATTGGGACACATATGTGTTGTGTGGCCAAGATGCTTGACCTAAGAGCCTTGGTTTTTTATCCCTATTCTGCAGGATTGAAATAAGGTTAAATGAAAAAAATATGGGCAAATGCTTCATAAACCAGCAAGTGCTATGAGAAAGTGAGGTGTCATTATTATTGATTGGCAAAGGATGGGGCTAGAGGTGATCCTGGGAGCATGTTCCTGAGCGGCTGTGCTGTTGGTTGGTCTGGCCTGGCTGAATGCTCTAGGGAGAGTTTGTCCTGGCACCAAGATCAGCGAGGATTCATGGGATGATCAGTGCAGGTCCAAGAAGTTCAGATTATCTCACCTACCAAAGTATGTTTCTTTGATATTGAAGGGAATGAATGGAAAACACACCAAGGAGGAGGACATCATTTGATAGGCACTCCCACCCCATCTCAACTCACTTTTGTTGTTGAATATTTTTTGGCACATATCTGCCAGATATTGTACTGAACACACTTTTTAATTTAAATCTCCTGGGTAAAGCACTGTGTATGTATATACATTTTTGTAAGTAAAGTTTGTAAAATAAAGTTTCATAGATGTTCCATAATCCTGGGGTAGGGCATTGGTGATGTGATCACCCCTCTAGGTCAGGGTTGCCTGACCTTCTGTGCCTGACTCTTTCCGGCAGTGGCATCTTCCCAGAAAAGAGTATCTTCCCCTCCAGCTTTGGTACTGGGGGGTGGTGGTGGTGCAGAAACACTATCCCCCTTTCCTCCTCTCACCCTCTCTGACATGGGGTGCTCTATTGTAGAGGTGGAGGGATAAAACAGAATATGCATTATAAGGGAGGGACTGTTGGGGTCAGAAGCTGCCTCTTTTCTCCCTTCTCATATAGGTGCTTCAGTGAAGAATCCTGTGTCTCCATCCCTGAAGTGGAGGGCTATGTGGTGGTACTTCAGCCTGATGCCCCCCAGATCCTGCTGAGTGGCACTGCTCATTTTGCCCGCCCAGCTGTGGACTTCGAGGGACCAGAGGGGATCCATTTGTTCCCCGATCTTCAAATCACTTGCTCCATTTCGCACCAAGTGGAGGCCAAAAAGGATGAGAGTTGGCAGGGCACAGGTAAGGATGACCGCAGGGAGTGATATCGTCCAGAGAAGGGAACCGTGTCTGGAACCAGAGTGAGGGAGGAAATCTGGGGCTGGACAAGAGAGAGACTTCATCCTGCATTTGCTTGACTAGAACCACTTACCATTAGGATGTAAACCCAGTAGGAGGCCCACGGGTGTAAGGAAATTGTTGGGTAATGATGTTATTGAAAATGATGCCAACTGCTCTCCGGGAAGACCTGGAAAGGGAGGAAGAATAGCTATGAGGTGGTCCCTTTAGCAATGACCCAGATCCTGACTCTGTCCCATCCAGTGACAGACACTCGCATGTCGGATGAGATCGTGCACAACCTGGACGGCTGTGAAATTTCTCTGGTGGGGGATGACCTAGACCCCGAGCGGGAAAGCCTGCTCTTGGATGTGGCATCCTTGCAGCAGCGAGGGCTGGAGCTCACCAACACGTCTGCCTACCTCACCATTGCCGGTCAGTGGGGCCTGAGAGCTTGTCCTCTTCCCCTTTCCCGCCTTGATCAAGTATCTGGGAAATCCAGAGGGTCCTCCTTCCAGGCCCAGGGATGTGGCCAAGTGCCATCTTGTACCTTCCTAACCTGGAAGATCCTCTGGCTTCCAGATTGTCCCTAGAGGAGGTGTGCCGGGGTTCAGGCTCCAAATGGTTCTTTCTCCCTGCTTCTGTCTACAGCGTGGCTCATCTCTACTCCTGGTTCCTCTTCTCCTTTGGCTCAGTCTTCTCTGACTAGCTTTCTAATTTTCCAGCTATTTGGTACCAGCCATCATCTCTGTCTCCCATCTCACTTATCTCATGTACACATCATAGCTTTAAGTCAAGTGCTCATCTCGTAGTGAATAGTGGTAATGATCTGGTAGCTTCCAAAGGACCTTTGGCTGCTCTTCTCTGAAGGACCCTCCGTAGGGGAAGATGGGAGAAGATGGGCATAACCAGTTCCCTCCTATTTCCGTTCCCTTCCAGAGCCTCACTGAGGACTTCTGTACTTTCCCCTCTCTCCATTTGCCTCCTGCTTGCCACCCCCCTTCTATCTTGCAGGGTGTCCTTCGTTCCTTCCCTCCATCGCTACTTGGAAGCTGCAGAGCTGTTAGGGAAGGGCAGAGCAGGAAATGGAGCCTAGGTAGCTCTATCCCAGTCAGTCAGAGCCAGGCGAGGGGTGGAGGGGAGCAACTCTTCTGACTGAGGTCACCCCCTGTTGAGGGGTGGGATGGGAGTCTGGAAGAGAGGGTCCTGCGCCAGTCTCTTCATTGGCCCCTGCACTGAGCTGCTTCCTCATCCCCCAGGGGTGGAGAGCATCACTGTGTATGAAGAGATCCTGAGGCAGGCTCGTTATCGGCTGCGACACGGAGCTGCTCTCTATGCCAGAAAATTCCGGCTTTCCTGCTCGGAAATGAATGGTCGTTACTCCAGCAATGAATTCATAGTGGAGGTACCTAGAGAGGCTCCTTCCTTCCACAGCTACCCCCACTGGCGAGGAGCCAGGGTGGAGTGGACTCAAACCGATAGTCGGTAGGAATGGAAGTTGCAGCCTGGAGGACTCCTGGGCCTGGCAGTGGGTAGAGGAGGAGGAGAAGCTGTGGGGCAGTGGTTAAAAGGTGGGTTCTAGAGAGGTGGGGTAGGACCTGGGAGAAGCACGTGCCCACTGAGCCTACCCTCTCCCCAGGTCAACGTCTTGCACAGCATGAACTGGGTTGCCCACCCCAGCCACGTGCTCAGCTCCCAGCAGTTCCTGCACCGTGGTCATCAGCCACCCCCTGAAATGGCTGGACACAGCCTGGCCAGCTCCCACCGAAACTCCAGTACGTAAGGCTGCATGGGGCAGGCAGGGAGGGCCGGGTGGCAGGGAGTGGGCCGGGTGCAGGCATCTTCCCCCTCCAACACGAGGAAGGGAGGACAGGGCTGGAGCAGTGTGGCCTATTCCCTGTGGTTCCTGACTTAACTGACGGCTGTGCTCCAGTCCCTTTGTCCCCCTGGAGCGTTTAACTCTGCCTCTTGAAGGAGGCGAGCCTGTGTCACTGCAGGGGCACTCGTGCTTGGAATCATAACGTCAGTGTGGGGTTTAGGCACCTTTGTTTTCCTGCTGCCCTCCCCAGCAGTATCAAATTAGCCCTGGACCTAGGGATCCTCTGTAGTGAAGCTATCAAGTATTTATTAAGCACCTACTGTGTACTAGCACTGTCCTAAAGTGCTATTAGGAATATGAAAGAATTATAGGATAGATACAGTCCCTGTCCTCAAGGAGAACATTGGTGCTGTTACGTGTATAATTATGTGCTATCTATAAAGTCCTAAGACTTTTTATAACAATATATGCAAATATGCAAAGTATTACATCCAGGAGAGTTGCCCTTCAAAGCAGTGTCGTTCCCTGGCTGTAGTCCTTTACCAGGGATGCAACTTTTTAATTCCCAATTTCAGAGTTGCTAAATTGTGGAAAAACTAGAAATTACAAGTATAAAGAAGAAAAATCAGCCATGATTCCATCACAGAGAGGAAACCATTGTCAATATGATATATTATGTTCCAGTTTTTTCTTTTTACAAAGTTGGGATAAAATTGTTTTGTAACCTCATATTTACACCTAATATTATAAAATGAGTCTTCTTTCACATTATTAAAAACTGCCAAATGACTCTGATGTTGCTGACAATTATTTTTGGAATCCCTTTTTAGAATTGCTTTCAAAGCCAATTTACGAGAGGCGTTTATGTTTGTCGTTTTTTAGATACACCCTGCCCTTGGCCCAGTTCAGTGTTACCCAACTTCATCATCCACTTTTGTCAGAGTTGGCTCTGGATATCATTTTAAGTTTTTACACATAAAACCTACTCTCAAAGGGCGCAGATTTGTCACTTTTGAAAAAAGTCAAAAGGTGTTTCACAGGCTCTGAAGGCAATTCCCTAAGGAGTTCCAAGAATGCTTTCCTGGAAGAAGCTCATGGTCACTGAACACTACCCCGGAAGTACAGCCCTCATTCAATACATGTAATAATAAGAAGAGCGAGCACATTAGGGTATGCCAGGCACCACGCTCATGGGCCTTTACACATATTAACTCATTTAGTCATTACAAACAACAAATGAAATAGGTGCTAGAATTATCCCCTGTGAAGGCAAGGAAATGGAGGTCCAGAGAGGTTATGTACTTTATCCAGGATCACACAGCTAGAAAGTGGTGGAGCCAGGGGCCAGCCCTGTGGTGTAGTGGTTAAGTGCGTCCACTCCGCTTTGGCGGTCTGGGGTTTGCAGGTTCAGATCCCGGGCGCGCATTGATGCAGCGCTGCTCAGGCCATGCTGTGGCAGCGTCCCATATAAAGTAGAGGAGGATGGGCACAGATGTTATCCCAGGGCCAGTCTTCCTCAGCAAGAAGAGGAGGATTGGGAACAGATGTTAGCTCAGGGCTGATCTTCCTTACCAAAAAAAAAAAAAGAAAAAACGTGGTGGAGCCAGAATTCCAGACCCTGTGCAATAACACTGCCCTCCACACCCTCTCCATTGATGTTTGATGCTTTTTTTTCCTAGTCATTACTTTACAGTTGCACCTAATTTGTGGGAGCTCCCAAGGGCTTCCCAGGGCTTCTTTGACTGAGGCTAGCTCCCTGATGCCCCCAGATTCAGTCTGGTGTCCTCTCCTTGGGCAGTGGCCACCACTTTGTATTTCCTTTTCCCTGGGACTGGCTCCCTTCTTCTTGCTCCCTCTGAAAACAACTGCAGAGGCCTTTCTGAGTGTTTTACTGTGCTTCAGTCAGCAGTGGTGAGGAGGGAATATAAGGCATAACCAAGCTGCAAAGGTTCCAAGAAGCTTCACACAATCTTTAGAGATGGATGAGCAAATCAATAATCCTGTTTTTGTTAAACAGACCCTTGGGGCCAGCTCTTTTTTTCCTCATGATTCCCTAGCTCTTTCTCCAGTTCCTTCCCTGGGAATCATCCCACTCAACCTTGTCTGGGTTGGCCTGGGTCCTGCTACTCAGATTAGGCTCAAGGTAGGTCCAGGTTGGCATTGCTGCTGGGCCTAGTGAGATTCTCAGTCCTTGTTTTCTCTGGTATGGGGTCCCACGAGAGGGAATCCCAGTTCTAACTCCCCCAGAGCTTCCTCTCCTTCCCGCTCAGCTACCCAGCACTGACTGGCCTGACATTTCACACCCCTCATCCCTCGCAGCTGCCTGGGGGTGGTCCGGGGTTTGTAAGTTCTGCCCTTGCTTCACCTCCCCAGAGTAAAGCCCAGCCTCCCCTCCACTGCTGTGAGCTGATGTCCAGGCCAACTAAGCTTGCTCTGAGATTCCAACTGAGAGTGCCAGCCTGCTTTTGCTTGTCCCCTCATTTTGGCCTGAGTAGGGTGTGGAGTTCATAGTTCGCCTGAGGTTGTTGGCGGTTGACATCTCTTCAGCTTACCAGGAGATCCACTTGATAAAAACCATTCCATATGCCTTTCTGACTCTTCGAGGTGTTCCTTCCCCTCCCAACCCCAAGAGTGGTGTTACAGGATTATGGCATTGCAATTTCAAATTACTCTAATCATGCAGTAGCAGTAAGAGAGATAATTCCCTCCAACAGGAGAGGATTCATTTCTCTGAAGCTTCTAAGTGCACCAGAAAAGAGAGAGCAGTGTGAACTGGTGCAGCCAGGGAAGGTTTTGTGGCTCATGTACAGTTTGAGCTTTGACCTTGAAGGATAGAAGGGTTTTTGGATGAGCATGAGAGAGAATGAGAGTTTGAGAATTGGGGGTGGGTGGTTGGTTTGGGGTGTTTATGGTTAGGGAGAATGAGGTTATCTGAGAAAGGTGAGCTGAGATGATGAAGACAATATTTATCCAGTCTTCCCAAACTTGGACGCACATCAGAATCACCTGAACAGCTGTAAAGATGCTTGGTGCCCAGGTTACACCCCATACCAGTTAAATCAGAATGTCTGGGGGTGGGAGCCAGGCATCAGTGGTTTTTAAGGACCCTTAGGTGATTCCAATGTGCAGCAAAGTTTGGGAACCATTTCCCTACTTTGTTTCCTACAAGTCTCTGAGGCTTTGCAGAAAGACCTACAATGCAATAGGATAAAAATAGACAATGAATTAGGAAGTGAGGAGAAAAGGACAGTGATGAACGAAGAATGAAAGGAAGCCAGGGAACAAAGTCAGTTCATAAAATACATCCTAGCAGGTGCTGTGCGGTTGCTAGAGTGGGCCAGACTTGTGACTCTGAGATAAAGCTGTTATGAAAGGCATATGATAGGAGCCACCAGTATTTCAAAAGAAGCCCTAAGCTTGAGAGCAGCAAGAAGTTTCCCCTGAGGCTCTTCATAGAGAGGCACCATGCAGGGCTGTGGGCAGGGCTGTTGACAATGTCCTCACAATCAGATGGAGCCAGGAGTTCACATGGGCCGTTTGCTAAAAACCCCCTCATGTTGGCTCTGGAGGTCATTCAACGCCAGAATTAGCTGCTTGGCTCTAAAGCAGCAAGAAAGGTTGACTGTACTTCTTACACTCTTGATTTTTGTCTGTAGCTAATTTAAAAATCCTGCCATCTCCCTGGCCTCTTGGCTCATTGTAAACTGATTAACCATACTTGTTTGCCTACAGAGGGAATGGCTGCATTTTGTCTTTCCTGAGGTCATTTCTTACTCCTGGCAATCAACTTGTCATTTCCTCACCAGGCCAGGGGCTCAGAGGGACAAATGCATTCAATTAAGGCACAAACCAGAACCGTTGGCTTGTCCTCATCAACCTGCCCCTATCACCTGCTTTGGCCTCCACTCTGAGGGGGGTCTCCACTCCTTCTAGAGCCTGGGCTTAGTCACAGGGGCCATCTGCTGGTAGGGTCGCTGCCCCTGGATCTTGCCCATTGACATGGAGATCTGGGAGGGACTGTTTCCTGCAGATGGGTGGAAAGGGCAGCTTGTTGCCCTCTTCCCTCCTCCCCCATCCCAAGGTAGTTGAGAAATGCTGATCCAGCAGGCCCATCTCTGCCCTGGAACCAGTGCCCAGGGAGCCTGCCTGGCCTGCTCAGCAGAGTCAGCAATCATTGGCAAGTGGCCCCAAGTGGGCTATGGGTCGGGTCAGGCCAGGGACCAACTTGGCAGAGAGCCATCAGGGAGCCTCAGGGAGGTGTGAGGCTAGTGTACCTGCTCAGGCAGGGCATTCTCCACACACCTGGCTGGCCCTGGAGTGTGTGGCAGCGTGTGTGTGCTAGCTGCTGGAGAGGAGGGGTATGCAGCAAGGTGTGTGGGGGGCTCCTGTGCCGTGTGCTTCTCTGTGCTGTGCTCTGTCTCGTGACATGTGAGTCTTAGAGGCTGTGGGTAAATTTGGGATTGGGAGATACATATGTGGGCTGGAACGTAATGTGTGTGCGTGTGGGACACATAACATGTAGTAGTCCCTCAGCAACGAGCCTGCCCAGAGTCTGGGCCTCCTGGGGCCTCTGTGGGTGGGTGAGCTGCTGTGCATACAAACAGTGGGCAGGGCTGTACACCCATGTGGGGTGTAGTGACCCAGCTGCCTATGAGGGCTCTGGGCCTGAGGGCACGTGTGTGGGGTCTCTACCTCCACCTGCTGTCCCTGGGGCTCTGGTCTCTCCTCCTGCTTCTCCGAGTGCTGTGTGTGTGTGTGCAGAAGGTGGGCAGGGCTGTGCTCATGGCTGCTTGCTCTGTGGCCCTCGTGGCCCATGTCTTCGGTGTGTATGTCTTCCTTCAGGGGGTTGCCTGGTCTGCCCAGCTGGCAGGCAGCTGGGTGATGCTGCACATATGGCTCTGCAGTGCCTTGCTGGAGACCCTCAGAGGCATCCCTTTGATCCTGCTGTGTGAGCGGGCCACCAAGTGGCTGGTGCAGGCAGGTGTGCAGGCCGGCAGAGGCCTGGCTTGGCTGCAGGGTGTAGCAACCTTTGCCCAGCTGTGTGCCCGTGTGTTCTTCCTGGGCATGTTCCTGTGCATGCACACCTGCTTTGCCGCCATCAGCTCTAAGGTCTGCGTGAGAGTGCACATGCCCTCCTGCGTCTCAGTGCGCTTCAGGGTCCGTGCACCTCTGAACCTGGGCATCAGAATGAGGCTGCAGGACCAGAGGCATGACAGGGCCACGGGGGAGGTGGGTATACGTCAGGGGGAGATTTGGGAGGAGCAGAAGCCCCAGACATCCAGGAGACCCAGGCCCCCAAGGAGAAGAGAGGTGTCACGGAGCAGGAGAGAGCTCCGTCCAGGTGGGTAAGTGAAGGGGCTGCTCCTTGCCCCTTGGACTTGTACCCCAGCCTGGGGTGCCAGCACCTTCTCCTGGCAGCCAGGGCAGACTTGGGGCCTGCTTCTCCTCTTATGATGCAGGAGGGCATTTCCTCCTCCTGCACCATCAAGCCCGTGTGGCTGCCTCTCTTTTTCCCCCACTGGGCACTGGGCTCTCCTTCCTAGGCTAAGCGGTCCCAGGGGAAGGCACAGGCAGAATGACCTGGGCAGGCTCCGATCCTTGCCCTCTGTCTGCTGAGAACAGGGCTGCTCACAACAGGGTTGGGCTGGGAACCCTTCTCCTCCCACTGCCCGCCTCCCTTTGCACACCTCCCTCCCTCTGTCACTCCATCCCTTTGGCCTAGCAGCAGCCCCTTTCGTGTCCTCTTCCCCTGCAGTCTCCTCCTCTTCCCTGTGGGGCTCTGTTTCTCCTCCAGCTTCTACAGGGTAGTCCCCTCTTCTGGGCCATCCTGGATCCTATCTTCTCCTCCATGCAGACTCCCTCTGCCCAGGTCCCTCCCCTGTTCCTCCCTGTGTGAGTCCGCTCAGGTGTGCCTGAGCACCATCTCCTCACCACACACTCTCCCCACAGTGGTCCCGAGTGCAGCGACCCTCATCATTGTGGTGTGTGTGGGCTTCCTGGTGCTCATGGTCATCCTGGGCCTTGTTCGCATCCACTCCCTTCACCGCCGCGTCTCGGGGGCCGGCGGGCCCCCAGGGGCCTCCAGTGACCCCAAGGACCCTGACCTCTTCTGGGATGACTCAGCTCTCACCATTATTGTGAACCCCATGGAGGTGAGTGGCCCTGGGGAATGGGGAGGTCTACAGAGTCAAGATTCCACTGGAGCAACACAGCAAAGACTCCTAATGAGCAGCCGGGCCCTGGGCAAAAAGCCCTAAGTAGAGCTGCCATGAGCAGGAAGGAGAAAGGTTGGGAAGAGCAAGAGGAGCAAGAGGTGGGAAGGGGGGTAAGGGGACTGAGGGAGGTGTGGCCCTGGGAGGAGAGGCTCAGGGTGTGTGCAGGCTGCTGAGCCCTTCTCCTCCCTGCTCCTCTTCTCCAGTCCTACCAGAACCGGCAGTCCTGCGTGGCGGGGGCTGCTGGTGGCCAGCAGGAGGACGAGGACAGCAGTGACTCAGAGGCCGCCGACTCTCCCAGCAGTGACGAGAGACGCATCATTGAGACCCCCCCACACCGCTACTAAGGCCTACACCCCTCTTCAAACAGAGAGAGTTTTGCCCTGGTGAGATAGAGACACCCAGAAAAGTGAGGACATTCTGAGAGAAGAGAGACCAAGAGGGGGAGAGCTCTTCAGAATGAGTTGTCCTTTAATCTCAAAATCCCGGTGGGCGCCACTGGAGTCCGCCCCACCCCTCCTCCTCCACCTCTGGGCTCTTCTTATTCTGGTGTGGGAGACTGTGGCTGCCTTTTCTGCCCCTGATGGCAGCCACCCCCTTAGCTCACCCTTGTCTCTGTCTCTCCCCCACCAGCTGTGCGCTGTGCTGGGTGGAGTGTCAGTAGCATTGGTGGGGGCCAGGGGTGGGATTGAAGGAATCTCTGTGCTCTGCCCTTCCCTACTCTCCTGTCCATGGAGGCCTTTCTCCCCCAGGCTCCCTCAGCTGGGCCTTCCTTGCTTCTCTTATGATCCCCTTACCTCTCTTTCCATTTCACTCTGGGGATCCCTGCTTCTTCACCTTGCCCGCTTCCTTCCTTTTCTGTCCTCTTTCCCTCCTATCCTTACCTGAGGTCCTACAGCCCCTGCCTCTTCCTACATGACCTGGTTGTGGCTAGGTTGAGGGGGTGGGAGGGGGAGCGGGGTCTCGGGTGTATTATATATAATGTATATTTTTTCATGTTGTCATGTGAGCGCAGCCCCTGTGTTCCGTGTGCAGCTCACAGCCTTGCGTGTGTGCGCGTGTGGCATCGTCAAGTCCTGGGGTGGGGGTAGGGGGATGGGTGTGGTAGGGAGGAGACACACCCTTGGCTTTTCAAATAAAACAACCAGAAAAAGCTCCTTGAGCTGCCTCCTGCCTGCCTGATCCTGTGTGGGTGCTGTGTGGGTGGCAGGCTCTCAGGTCTCAGGCCCCATTCGGGTCTCTGAGCAGGGCGGAGGTGAGGGGACAGGGCTGGTTGTCCTGGGTGCCGTCACCAGGTAAGTCCCCAGAATGCCAAGCCACTGGGAAAGTAGGTTGGGGGCAGATGGCTCCCACTGCCTTCTTCCCTCAGCACCCCCTGGAAAAGTATAGACAATTTAGGGAATGCTGCAGATGCCTGGGCTCTGTGAGGGACACTGTCAGCCCCTCCCCATCTCTTGGGACATTCCACCTGGAGCACATGGGCCCCCAGCCTGGGAGTCCAGGCGGGGGGGGGCGGGTGGTGGGCAGGTAACCCTGCTGTTTGTAACAAGAGAGAAGGGGCTCTGAGATGTTTCCCCGGTAGTGGGGGGCAGTAACCAGATGGGGCTATTTCAGAAGAGTGAACTGTGGTGGGGCATCCTTCCTGTGCTACCCTTGCCCCAGGAAATACCAGGGATCCAAGTCTTAACTCCTTTCTGTAGAATGAGGAGATCTGAGTGTCAGTGCTGTTTTCCCTGGTTCTCTGTGGCTCTCCGTAGCACAGGTAGGGTGGAGTGGAGCTCACTGGCTCACCCATGCTCCACTCAGTGCCTGGTCTTTCTTCTGCCAGGTGCCCCAACCATACCCGTAGCTTCAGCTACAGCTGTGTGTTGATGTCTCCACGTTTCTATCTCCCACCCAGACCTCTTTCCTGACCCCCATCTACAACCACCTGTTGGTGTCTGCACTCGGGCATCCTGGCCTCACACGCGACCTTTGCCTGAGTTCTCTCTGTTCTCTGTTACCTATCCCTTCACCTTTCTCCCAGTCTCCTGAGCCAGAAACCCGGGAGTCAGTCTAGATTCTTCCCTTTCCTTTAACCTCATGTCCAAATGGGAACTAAACCCTGTCGTTTTTACATTTTAAAATCTCTCAAATATGCCTTTTTGTTCCTCTCCCTGCTACTGCTGCCGCTGCCGGGGTCCACACCCCCTTCAGTATATGCCTGGTCGGTTGTAAGAGCCTCCTACCTGTTCTCCTGGCCCCATGTCTTCCTCCGCTCCAGCCCAGCTCTGGGGCTGAGGGGTCTCTCTAAAGTGCAGCTCTTGTTATGCCACTCTCCTCTTTAGAACCTTCCATACCTCCCTGTCATGGCTAGGGTCAAGTCCCGACGCCTTGGGAGGCCCCTTAACCCAGGTGGGTCAGGCCTCACCTCCCTCCTTCCTTGACCCCCTCTCTGCTCCCGTCACACAAAGCACTACTACCTCCTCAAACTTGCCCTGCCGTTTCTTGTCTCTGTGTCTTTGTACATACTGTTCCCTGGGAGGTCAGTGCACAGAGGACAGAGGTGGCTGAGCAGATGCCCTGCGGTAGCCTCTCCTGGAGTGGGGCCTGCCTGGATGCCACGCTGACGTTTCCTGGTCTGTGGCAATACTACGTGGGAGGCAGCCCTACCTGTTCAACCTGAGTCCCTCAGAGGCTCAGGGTGATGCTCAGTGGGTAGAGCCTTCAGACATTGGAAAGCCTTAGCTCTCAGAGGGGTAGGAGAGAGAGTTTTCGGTTTATGATCTTGAATTTCAGTCTGTTCACCCCCCTCTCCTCCCTCTTGCCATTCCTTTTAGTCTTCACCCACCCCTGGTCTCAAAGACCACAGCTTCCCGTGCAGAAGAGTGGAAGCCAAGGGGATCACATTATTTCTGTTTGTCCTTGGAGCTCCCTACGCTGCGGCTAAGACTCAGGAGTCAGGGTCTTTTTTCAGGTCCACTTCAAGCCCCAGCTCTAGAGAGCAGGTGGGGGAGAGGGCGAGCTTGCCATGAACTCTGTCCCCACCCGCCCTTGATGTACACACATCTGCAGACTGCCACATGGCAGCATGCAGTCTTTCTCTGGGCATCTGCCCAACCTTGGCCTGACTCTCAGCCTTCCTGGGTCATCTGTCTCTGGGACCAAGCAGGGGTTTCTGCTGAAATGCACCATTCTACATTAGTTTCCTGGAGACTCCAGAATCAGAACCACTGGCCACTGATTATGTCTTACAGGTGTAAGTTTTCCTGTCCCTCCTCTTCACCCTCAGGGTCTGACACCCCAGATCCCAGTCCATGGTTACCGCCATCTCCCTATATGACAGTTGGGCAGGTAAATGTGTCATGGTGGTGTAGGGGTATAAGTAGGAGCCTGGAGGCCTGGAGAAGACCTTGAACTCCTTGTGCTACCACATGTGTGTGCCAGACTACTGCTCTTGCTTGCTGGCCCACCCTCCTTCCCTCAATCTTTCTGTCTCTGCTTCTTTGTTTCCCTCTCCCTCCCCCTCTCTCTCTTCCTCTCCCTCCCTCCCTCCCTCTCTCTCATACACACACACACACACACACACACACACACACACACACGAAATAGAAATCAGGAGTGAGGCAAGATGCCAACTCTAATCACACAGAGAAAGGGCAGCAGGCAGGAATCCAAGTGGGTTTTATTTTGTTACTCAAGATCTCCTGGAAGTATGTTCCCTAACCTCCTCACAGAAGCTGGCAAAGCCTCACCATGTCAGGCCTGGGGCAGGGTTTCCAATTTACCTACTCCCACTTAATCTGAAACAGCAAACACATCTCTTTTGGCCTAACTCAGATCTTTCCTTCTGCATTGGAAGGCTGTTTTACTCTTATGTCCACCCTTTGCAGTGAAAATTAATTAGCTTCCTGAAAGGTACACGATGAAAAGCTATGCCCTTGGGAAAAGCCATGCTTTTCCCCATCTGCCATAGAGGCAGATATGGTAGCCACCGGTTCAAGAACAAAGTGTGTCCTTCTAACTCTTACCAGACCAGAGACCTGAAAACTCACCCTTGTGCCTTCTGGGCAGGTGGACACACACACACTGGTGACATGTGCAGCACGGCTCCGCCTTCTTCAGGAGTCTTGATTCCACCTGCAACCTTCAGGCTGATGCACCAATCAGCAACAATTCTGAAATCTCCATTTCCCCACCCACCAGCCCCCACCGTGGGGGCTTTGTTGGAGTAGGTCAAGAATGACAAATATGCTCCTGGTTTTCTAGGAGCTATGGAAGATCTCATATTCCCTTCAGATTTTAATCTCTATGTTGGGGTCTCCCAAAAGTGTGTCTCCTGGATCTCCTAGGCTTATTACAACTCAGGGCTCCTCTGGACTGTGTGTTGCTCTGGCGAATCCCTCGGACCCTGGGAGGTTTCATGGGGCTGTCTATAAGCATGAGCTGAGATTGAGTTTGTGTCCACTGTGTTCCTCTGTGCACTGTGGGTACAGGTGTCCTGGACTCCACCTCCCTATGAATCCTCTCCTCACCCAGTGTCCTGCTGAGGGCTCACAGTGAGCTCTCTCCCGGGAGGGAGGAAGAGCACGAGGAAGGGAGATAGGTGCGGAGGGAGATGGGTGAGTCCCTGGTGGGTGGGCGCATCTGACAGACAGAGAGGAGGAGCTGGCATGCTTATTTTCACAGCGCTGGTGTCACTGCATCTCCTGCGGCACCACGCTGTCGCTCCCTTAAAATACCCTGGTCCTACAGGAAAAGGACAGATGAGGGTTTAAATTTAGCGACAGTGGGGAGGAAGTGGGGTGGGGACTCTGGGTGTGGTGGAGCTGGCTTCGTCAGCAAAGGAGTAGGAACCCTACGATGCCTGGGTGAGGATTCTGATCCACGAGGATAAGTGAAAGTCTGCCCAAATGTCCAGTCTCCAAAAGGCATGAGGCGGTGAAGAGAGATGACAGCTGGGTAAAGCCTCAGGGTACTAGGGACTTAGAGGGCCACTGGCCCAAAGGCCTGTGAGGGGGCTGCTAAACTTTCAAGGGACAAGGTAGCATGAGCAGCCTAAGTCCACCTTGGTAAGCAGTACCTTACTATCTCACGGCCTTACTCTTGATATGCCACTATGTTGCTTTGAGGAAATCCTAAAGCACAGAGGGGCACCTCTTGCCTGGTGAGGTAGTGGGGAGGAGCAAGTGAGGAAGGCTTTGTTGTCAGCTCTGCCTGTGTTAAAATCCTAGCAACTTAGTGTTTGGTCTTGGTCTTTAACTTCTCTAAGCTTTGGTTCATCACCTAAAAAGGGGAATTTCTTTTTTTTTTTTTAATTTTATTTATTTATTTTTCCCCCAAAGCCCCAGTAGATAGTTGTATGTCGTAGCTGCACATCCTTCCAGTTGCTGTATGTGGGACGCGGCCTCAGCATGGCCGGAGAAGCAGTGCGTCAGTGCACGCCCGGGATCCGAACCCCGGGCTGCCAGCAGCCAAGCACACGCACTCAACCGTTAAGCCATGGGGCCGGCCCGGGAATTTCTTACTCAAGGGGTTGAGTGAGGCTTAAATAACTTTTTCTGAAGTAACTCACAGTTGGCATATTACATGTTAGCTATCATTATCATTATAGGGAGATGGACAAAACCATTCCTCACCCCAGTGACAATGGGGTCTTT